TTTGGAGCCAAGTTTGGTTGGACATTGGGCAATACTGTTTTTGCCAAAAAGTTATGAAAATGATCATGTAGTGACACTGACTTCTCTGTGGTCCTTGGTAAAATGGTTCTGAAGGCATTTTTAATTTTATTTTAAGTTTATTTTTTTTTGAGAGAGAGAAAGAGAGAGAGAGCACAAGCAGGGGAGGGGCAGAGAGAGAGGGAGGCACAGAATCTGAAGCAGCTCCAGGCTCTGAGCTGTCAGCACAGAGCGCAACGCGGGGCTCGAACTCACAGACCGCGAGATCATGACCCGAGCTGAGGTTGGACGCTTAACCGACTGAGCCCCCAGGCGCCCCAGGTTCTGAAGACATTTTTGAAGATGGAAAAAGTCCACCCAGGGTTTGCTTTGGCCCCAAAGAGGAGGCTCCTGAGGAGAACCACCAGCCTCCGCCGCCCTCACAATGTCAGCCTGGCGCCTCTGACTTTGCTGGCTCTGTTTCGGCTGCTATCATCCCCCTTAGGTCGGCTGCGTCCTGGTCCCCACCTCTTCTGATCAAGGTCCAGGAAATCCCTTAGCCAGACCAGTAGGAGACGAGCCAATGCGCCAAATGGGGCTCCCATTGAGGGTAGAGCCCTGATCTGCAGCTGGGGGGGGGGGTGGCTCCCAGGGGACACGTGGCAGAATCTGGAGACATCATTGCCCGTCAGTCACAGCTGGGAGTGGGGCGTGTTAACAGAATCTAGTACGTGGAGTCCAGGGATGCTGGTAAATATCCTGCAAACGCACAAGACAATCTCCCACAACAAAGAGTGAGTCAGCCCCAAATGTCAGGAGTGCCGAGGTTGAGAAACCCCGGGGACAAAAGAATCTGAGGTACCTTTTATGTGTCTTCGTTGTTATTTCCTGACTTTCCCGAAATGAATATATATTACTTTGGATTCAGGAAAAAAAATGTTTAAAGAAAGGAAAGCCTCTTTTCCTTTTGAGTGATGCAAGCTTGGCATTTAAAGAAAAAAAAAAAGAGTAATTATTGAGGGGCCAAGGAAGAATAGAGGAAATACAGAAAAAGGGAAATAAACAACTTTAGAAAATTCCAGCTCACAAATATTTGTGGAGTAGCAGTCAAGTTCAGGGTGCTGCAGGATGCTTGGGCGGTCCAAGATGGACACGCCGAGGAGGTCACGGGTGCTGTGCAGAAGCTTACACGCCAAGCAAAACTCCACAGAATAAGACAACAGGAAAAACAAAGTTTAAAATGGGGAGGGAGAGGTTTTGCCAGCTGAGGGTCTGGAAAGGCATCAGGAGCACGGAGAGGCACTCGGCTTTGGTCTTGAGGGCCAGGTAAGATAGTGATGTGATCTGAGGACAGCCTGTTGCAGTCAAATCCAGTGCCCCCCTCCAGCCCCCGGTTAAGGATCGGGCAGTCTGGGGTGCCTGGGTGGCTCAGTCACGTCTGACTTTGGCTCAGGTCATGATCTCATGGTCCATGAGTTCGAGCCCCGTGTTAGGCTCTGTGCTGACAGCTCAGAGCCTGAAGCCTGCTTTGGATTCTGTGTCTCCCTCTCTCTCTGCCCCTCCCCTGCTCACACTCTGTCTCTCAAAAATGAATAAACATTAAAAAAATAAAATAAAATGATTGGGCCATCTTAGGCTAATCAACTTCTCTACATCTCTGTTTGGTCATTTTAAGGTTGGTGTAATAATGAATGAGTATTGTCTCCTTTAAGGGTTCCCTGTAGGTCCCTCTGAGGCCTATGATGGGGTAAGATTTCTTAAGGAGGACGTGTTCTCAGACCTAACCCTCACTCACCGGGCTAGAAGGATGCAGTGAGATGATGCTTGGAGGGGATGCTCTCAGTACTGCGCCTGCTGCACCTGTTGGCCTACGAGGCTGGTTTTTAGTAGCAGAGAGGAGGCGAAGGGGAACTCCCGGCCAGGGGCGAAGGATGCGAACAGATGGACAGATGCCAGGGGTTTGGGGGATGTGGCTGCAAGCTGGGATTCAAAGTATGGTCCAAGGACTAGGCGCACTGGCAGCACCTGGGCTTTTTGAAAGTGCAGAAAGCAGAATCTGCATTTTAACCATATTTCCCAGGTGGTATGTGTGGATGTTAGTGTGTGCAAAGCAGGGAGCTCCAGCATAGGCTGAGGGTATTGTACAATGCAGCCAAAGAGTGGGGACAGCCTGGGGTGTCATGTATGCCCTGTCAAGCAGAAATGATGGATGGATGGATGGGTGGGTGGATGGATGGATGGATGGATGGATGGATGGGTGGATGGATGGGTGGGTGGATGGATGGATGGATGGGTGGATGGGTGGATGGGTGGATGGATGGATGGGTGGATGGATGGATGGATGGTTGGATAGATGGTGGATGGATGGGTGGATGGATGGGTGGGTGGATGGATGGGTGGATGGATGGATGGGTAGATGGATGGATGGATGGATGGATGGATGGATAGATGGTGGATGGATGGGTGGATGGATGGATAGATGGATAGATGGATGGATAGATGGTGGATGGATGGCTGGGTGGATGGATGGATGGAATGATAGGTAGATGGATGAATGGATGGGTGGATGGATGGATGGATGGGTGGATGGATGGGTGGATGGATGGATGGATGGATGGGTGGATGGGTGGGTGGGTGGAAGGATGGATGGAATGATAGATAGATGGATGAATGGATGGGTGGATGGAATGATAGATGGGTAGATGGATGGATGGATAGATGAATAGATATATGGATAGATAATTTTAATATGTATTTTATAAATTAACATAAACAGATACAGCAGAGATTCTGAGTGGAGGGCTGGTCCAAGCAGTCTCTTGGTTATCGGGAAGCTCTCTGGGCCCTGGTGCTTGAGAGGGATGGTTGGCTGGTAGAGAACTTGCAGGTGGGGAGGCCCAGCTAGTTCACTGCAGTGTATGAGGTGGGGAGTCCTGCAGAGAACTGAAGACCTGGCAGAGCTGTGGGTGACAAGGAAGGAGGGGATTTCTGGGGAGGCAGCCTCCCTAGCTCAGAGGCTCATCACATATCCGAGGCCCCATCTGGAGAACTTCTGGCTTCTGCCTTTCATGTCCCAGGGCTCTGGGTCCTGGCTCTCCGCCTCTCCCATGTTGTCTTCATTTGACATGGGGGCTCCGGCAGTGAGGGCTAACGGAGCACCCTCCCTGCAGAGCTAGAACGGCGAGCCCGCCAGCACACAGAATGAAGAACCAAGCCCCAAAGTGGACCTGCCAGCCACAAGGCCTCTGAGCAGCGGGGTGTTGGAAGGAAGTCTAGGGCCTCCCATGAACAGCGAAAGGAACATTGATCTGGGTAGATGGTTACTGACAACAAAAGAAATCTGTCTCAGTACTTAATTCTCCTTAAACCAAAAGGAGGAACTGAAGGAAAATCAGACCTGGGCCCTTCGGAGATTTGCCTGCCAGTGACAAGGTGGATCCCACTCCTAACTTGGCTTCGAGGGGAGGGTGGTTCTCATTCCCGCTGGGCCTCTGTTACTGCCTGGGCAGCTGAAAGCATTGATCAGGGTGTCCTGGCGGGCCCTTTGAGGTGTTGACTTGTATGTTTTGGTGAACAAAGATGGGCTGGGAGTGACCAGTTACTCACTCCTGCAGTGGGGAGGTTTCCCAACCCACCAGAAGCAGTCAAGGTCACCTATCGGTCTATCCATCCATCCAGAAGCTCCCCAAGTTAGCTGGGGGCAATGCCTCTAATGGTGGAAGTGGATAGGATGCTTTTTGCCTATTTTAAGCCCAAGCACTGCCCCCTAATGGGCTCCCTGGGGACCCCCAGTGGATGTGCCTTTCTAGAAGGACCGTTCTCAATACCGGGCGAGGATCCGTCCAGAGCTTTCACCTGAGAACACCGCAAGAGACACGGAGTTGGCTTTGATGAGCAACAAAGGCGTCAGGGGCTGGACCCCACCCCTGCCCTAAGTGAGCTGCGTGATGTCCCTCCCTCCCCATCCACGCCCACAGCACAGGACAGTGACTGCACCCATTCACCTGCGAGTGTGGTTATTGCTCTAACAGGGCTGAAAATGGTCACCTGCAGAGCCCACGGGCGAGGGGCCTCCTTCCTGGGAGGCGTGGTGGCCCGGGCAGTGGCTGTGCTCACCGCAGCAGGCAGCCTGGTGCTCCAGTGCCAGCCCGAGGCTCCAGGGGCAGAGTCCGTGTGCACATGACAGTGTGCGCATGCACGTGTGTGTGGCTGTGGGAGAGTGTGTGGGCGTGCACGTTAATTGTGTCAGCATGCCCATGGGTACGAGTGTGTGGAAGGTGTGCATATGTGGGAGTGTGTGCGTAAACCTGTGCTGAGTGTGCTGAATGCATGTGGGAGTGCGTGTGTGACTGTGTCAAGTGTGCAACAGTATGTACACTGGGCATGTGAGTGTGCATTGAGGTGTAGGAGTGTGTAAGCGTGGTTGTGTTAGGATCGTGCAAATGTGTGTGAGTGCAAGAGCCTGTGCGTGTATATACAAGTGTGTCAGGTGTGAGTGTGAGCTTTCAGGTGCACCTGCCACGTGTGAGTATTGAGTATACTTGTGCACACGTGGAAGTGCAAGACCACACGAGTGTACGTGTGCACACTGTCGTGTGAGTACTGGGCATGCATGTGCATATAAATGTGAGGATACTGGCTACACCGTGTGTGTCATGTGCGTAAGTACTGAGTGTATGTGTGCACATGTGTAACACACGAGAGCACCGAGTGTATGTGTGCATGTACGAGTGAGAGTACGGAGTATACATGCGCACGTGTGCATGGAAGTGTGAGAGCACTGAGTATACGTGTGCACGTGTTAAGTGTGAGGGCACTAAGTACATGCGTGCACGTGGAAGACTGTGGAGAACATGTGGGAGCGTGTGAGGGTGACAGTGCGTGTGGTCGCCCTCCCGGACGTCTCCGCTCCCGGCCTCCTGGGCCTGGTGGCACCTCTGGGCGCCCCTCTGCAGCCCCCCCCCCCCCCGCCCGTGTCCTTGCTCGTGTGTCTCTCCCAGCAGGGCGCGCAGGAACATGGGCTCCCGGGGACTGCGACTCGGGCTGGCGTGCTGCCTGCTGCTGGCCTCCGCCTGCGGCCGGGTGCTGGGCCGAGCGCCGCGGGCCGCGCAGGAGCCGCCGGAGCAGGAGGGGACCGAGGGGCCGCCGCTCGACCACCAGGACAGGTGAGAGACGGGGGCGGGTGCGCGCAGGTGCTCCGGCTTGGCGGGTTGAGCGCGGGGTCCAGGGCCCCCCGGGCTCATTCCTGGCTGGGCGCAGAGGAGCGTAGCTTGGGCCGAGGAAAGGGCCTCGCGGAGGCGGGTCCGGGAGGACAGACCGGCCATTTCTCCTTCCAGGGAGGCGTCCCTGAAACCGAGGACCGTGACCCACTTCCTTCCAACCCCAAGGGATTGAGTCTGTGTAAGGTTTTGCAGACACATCCTTAAATAAAGAGTTCGCCAAGGGGCCCCTGCGTGGCCCAGTCCATTAAGCGTCTGACTCTCTGCTCAGGGCGTGATCTCTCGGTTCGTGGGTTCGAGCCCCACGTGGGACTCTGCGCGGACAGCGCGTCTCCCTCTCTTTCTGCGCCTTCCCTGCTTGCTGTCTATCTCTCACTCTCTCAAAATTAAATAAATAAACATTAAAAAAAAAGAGTACACCAACCCCCCACCCCAGCCCTCGGTTTGCCTTTCCATTCTAGCTTTGTCCTTCGAGAGCATCTTCCAGGGTTCTGAGAACACCCTGCTCGTAGGAGGCAGGGATGGTGCTGTGAGCCGGGCCCCTGACCAGTTGACCAGGTTACAGACTGGAGAGGAGAGGAGGGGCGGCTTTTCCTGACAAGTCATGAATTTCTGCTGAATGATTCCATCTTCATATACATGACCTTCGGTGACGTAGACTTCAGGCTATTTGGAATGTTTGTAGGGATACGCAAAATGCCTAGGGGATTACTCCTGAAACTGACATGCCTCACATGTGAGGTTCTAGCTCGATGCTTCGACTTTCTCCATTATTTTGAGCTGTGGGCCGACTTGATGCCCAAGGCTTCGCACGAGCTTTAGAGAACGATGGAATTGCATAGGATGTGGCACGGGGACACCTGTCAGCTCCTGCTCCTCCCCCTCCCCCCTCCTCTCTCTTTCCATTCAACGAACATTGAGCGTCTAATATTGGTCTGGCCGTCCGCTAGGGACTAGGGGATATCACGAATGATAGTCCCTGGGACTGTCATTCTTCTGGGAACCCGGAGGCCATGGGGGAGCAGAGCCGTGAGCAGTGAGCAGTGAGGTAGGACAGGTGTGCCCGCAATGCTGGGGGTGGCGGAGGAGGGGGAGACGGAGCAGAGGAGTGACCTCAACTTGAAGGACCCCTGGGGAGGCATCCAGGTGCAGAAGGAGGGTGTGTGGGAAGTTGTGGCCGCACCAGGTGGCTTTGGGGTAGCGGAGGGTAGGAATGGGAAGGGAGAGGAGCCTGGGGGGGAAGGGTCTCTCCTGAACTTAATTCTACAGAGAGTCATAGAAGATTATCACGGAGGGGGTGGGGGTGTCATGGAGACGGTTCAGTGTCCTGGGGTTCCAGAAAAAAGGCTGGAGAAGGCAGAGAAGAAGCTGGATGGGAGGTGTAGGGGGAGGCAGATGCCAGGAGGGCGGTCGTGTGGTAAGGGTCCCCCAGAGATGAGGGGACCTGAGGACCCAGCTTCTGCAGGCACCTTGGTGGGGGTGCTGACCGCTCAGGACCCCGGGATCCTCAGAACATGGTGGTGAGGCCAGAGACACCTCCCGAATGAGCCTGAAGCTCCATTCTGGGCAGCTGATGATGGTAACGTGAGGAAGCTTAGAAGGAGAAGGTTCTGGGGGCGGAGTTATGGGCAGATGCATTTGGACCCATCACGTTTGTGGGGTTTGCAGACTCTAGATGGAGGCTTCCGGCAAGAGGCAGGGGTCCACCTGGGAGTCCAGACTTGTGGGGCCTGAATTTAGTGTGTACAGATCCATTTCCTGGATTGTCCTGCGGAGGCAGGGAAGGAACCGGGCTTTTGAGATGGAATGACTGCCTCTGAGATGGTACCATCAGCTCCAGAGCCTGGGAGCCAAGAGAGGAAGCCAGAGAGCACCGCGCATTGCCGGGAGGTGCCGCGAGGTGGCAGCAGGGAGCCGTCCCCGCCACCCCGCCCCAGCCGCCCCTCGAACGTCCTAAAGTCCGTAGTAAGCATTGGAGCCCAGTCTCCAGCTGCGGAAGCTCAAAGGAACCCTAAAGATTTGGCCGAGCCCTTTCATTTACAAATGAGTCAGCTTAATGTAGTATCTTCTAGAATCACAGCTGCCTGGAGGGGATTCGCAGCATTGTTAAACTTCCTCTAAAACCCCTCCCGGAGGGGCCGAGAGGATCTCTCGAGCAGCCAGGCTCACAAGGCCCTCAATTACTCCACCATTTGCAGAAGGCGGTGGGGGGACGGGGGCTCCTCCAGAAGTTTCATTTAGGGCCCCAGACTTTGCCAAGAGCCAATACTGCCTCTGTGGAGGGAAAGCGAGGGCACAGCCTGCCACGCCCAGGAGAGAGGGGAGGCTAGCGGGCAGACCAGGCAGCAGGAGAGAGAAGAAGTCCCCGCTCCTGGCTTTCACGATAACATCTTTATTCCCTTAGGGGTGAAGAGAACCATGAAAAATACAGCTCCAGGCAGGGGGACGAGGTGGCCGCTTCCCGGTGCTTTCGCTGCTGTGACCCCGGCAGCCCCGTGTACCAGGCCATCCCAGTGCCGCAGATCAACATCACCATCCTGAAAGGTCAGGTTGCTGCAAAGCCACCGTGGGGGTGGGGGGACCTCCCCTGGGTGGGGGTGGGGAGCGCTCTGTTCTGAGGGGGGAGGGGAGAAGATGTAGTCTTTCTTTTTTTAAAAAAAATTTTTAAAAGTTTATTTATTTTGAGAGACAGAGAGAGCAGAGGAGGGGAAAACAGAGAGGGACAGAGAGAATCCCAGGCAGGCTCCGTGCTGTCAGGGTGGAGCCCGACGCGGGGCTCGAACTCATAAACCCGTGAGACCAGGACCTGAGCCAAAACCAAGAGTCAGGTGCTTAACTGCCTGAGCCCCCAGGCGCCCCGAGAAGATGTGGTCTTTATGGTAGATGAGACGGGCCACCCTCAGGGCACGGGGGTGGAGGAGGAGAAAATTCCATCTGAGGCTCTGTCCCCTTTCCAAGAGGTCAGATTGGAAAGAAGAGGCCCTAAGGACCCGGGCCTGAGAAGGGTCTCACCCCCCTCCCCTGCCACCCCCTCCTCGGCTGCCTTTGAGCCTCTGCATCTTCTGTTCTGGGGCTCGGCCCCCAGCCCGCTTTCCGGATCACCTCCCGCGGCCCCACAAACCCTGACCGGGAAGCGCCCGGCCGAGCCAGCATCTGCAGCGCATTTGCTCCGAGTCGGCCGCGGGCCTGGCCACAGCGCCTGCTGCTTTGGGACAAACCCATATGTTCCCTTTGCGTTGCCAGCACTTTCCGGACCGGGGGGGGGGGGCGGGGGGGAAATGATGGCCTCTGGATGAAAATAGAACAGCCGTGGGGGCTGGGCCAGCTTTGCTTGACGCCACGTGCTCTCCTGTCCCTTTAGGTGAGAAAGGGGACCGAGGGGACCGAGGCTTGCAAGGCAAGTACGGCAAGACAGGCTCCGTGGGCGCCAGAGGCCACACGGGCCCCAAGGGGCAGAAAGGGTCCATGGGGGCCCCCGGGGACCGCTGCAAGAGCCACTACGCCGCCTTCTCGGTGGGCCGCAGGAAGCCCCTCCACAGCAACGACTACTACCAGACGGTCATCTTCGACACGGAGTTCGTGAACCTCTACGGCCACTTCAACATGTTCACCGGCAAGTTCTACTGCTACGTGCCGGGCATCTACTTCTTCAGCCTCAACGTGCACACCTGGAACCAGAAGGAGACGTACCTGCACATCATGAAGAACGGGGAGGAGGTGGTGATCCTGTTCGCCCAGGTGAGCGACCGCAGCATCATGCAGAGCCAGAGCCTGATGCTGGAGCTGCGGGACCAGGATGAGGTGTGGGTGCGCCTCTTCAAGGGCGAGCGGGAGAACGCCATCTTCAGTGACGAGTTCGATACCTACATCACCTTCAGCGGCTACCTGGTCAAGCACGCCTTGGAGCCCTAGCCCCGCCAGGCCCTGCACCCCCCACCCCCACCCCGGGGAGGGGGGAGGCATGGGTCTCGCTGCAGCCCCAACCCCAGTCGTGGCTCCCCCCCCCCCTCACCACCCAGCTTTGGCCCCGACACGACGCCCTTTGCGGAGCAGGGAGCAGAATGGGCTATGCTTCCCGGCCTTGGGGGCCCTTCAGTGGGCCCATCGGGCCGTCACCTGCGACAACGACGGACACCCCCCCCCCACCGCTCCCCTCCACGCACGTATCCTCAGGCGACCCAGCAGGCGCGCGGCCACAGGGCAGGGTGTCCCCGAGTCATCCTTGCCCGAGGCTGGAACTAATTAAGGAAATGGTAAAGTTTGTGAAAGAAGCAAAATAAGCCGTGTGGGAAAAGGGAGGCGCTGTTATTTTTGCCTTCCCACCAGCCGCGCCAGTTCCCCGGGGAGGTGGCTCCAGCCTGAGCTTGCGCGAGCCTCCTGCCAGAGACCTGATGGGGGCGCTGCGGGCCCCAGGGGAAGGGGCGGAGGGCGTGGGACCCTCCTCGCCATTGATGAGCCTTCCTGGGCAACAGCTGGCCTGACGTCCATGTCCTGGGGCCATCACGGCCTTGCCCGAGGAGGCTTCAGCTGGTCTTTCTGAGCCACAACAGCGAGTGGGGGTTGGGGCCGGGCACGGGGGGTTGGGGGGTGGAGGTGGGGAGCGAATGTCGGCTCTCAGCAGGACAGCCCAGCCCTTGGCCTTGGCCTCTGGGCTGAGACTGAACAGCTTGCTTGTTGGAACTCACAGACTCCTGACAGCAGCCGGGGACTTGGGGAGTCCCCGGGTCCACTCAGCATCACCAAGGCAGAGCCATCCACCCTGGTGCGGCTCTGCTCCGCCGCCCCAGACTCCCCGGAGCTCCCGGGCAGGGGCTTCACGCCTGCTACCCCGGCCCTGGCTTTCTGTTCCTCCTCTCAGACGGGTCAGCCACGGAAGACGCCGGGGCCTGAGTTTTGTACCAGCTGTCACGGTTATATGATATTTGCTACACAACCTGCCTGCACACCATCTCGAGTCCTGTTTCCCTGAGGGCTCAGTGCTCTCTCCCCCGGCCTCCTGGACCAGCGGCCCAGGACAGCAGGGCAGGGGCTTCCTCTGGCCCCCAGAGCAGGGAAGGGCCGGAAGGGGCTAGAAGGCTCCCCCTCGGCCTGTCTCGGAGTCCCCGTGGGGCACCGTCCCCCTGACCAGGGAGAAGGCACGTCTCAAGCACTGGAGTCAGAACCCTCTCTGGGGCATGGGGTGTAGAAACACCCGACGCGGCTACTGCCTAGAATTGGTGCTCTGGCCCGTGGCCGACTGTGGCCCGGCAGCCCTTCCCGGCCTCTCTTTGTTAATGCCCAGGGCCAAGGTCCCTCTCCTACCTGCCTGGGCCCCTAAGCCCCTATGGGAACCTCCCTTCCCTGGTGACCCTTGGCCTGGACCCATCCCTCTGTCCCCTCCCCCCACCCCCCCGGGGCCTGATCATCGGGTCTGGGGCCTGCACATCCTTCCCTCTGAAGGACTTCTGCTGGTCAGACTTTGGAAACGGTGTTTCTACGGGCGTGTGGTGAGCGGAGGGTCCGCCCGCTGCTTTGTGCTGTCCCGGTGCTCTTTCAGACATTAAACTTGGAACTATGTGTTTGAGCAACACGGCCTCTTCAGTTTGGTCATTGAACCAAATCCTCCTCTTCTCTGCCCCCCTCCCCGCACCCCGCCAACTGCCTTTTGGAAGCCTGGGGGCTGCACCTCGGCACCCGGGAACGTAGGTACCCAGGGGGCACAGCAAGGCCTTGAACTGCCTTGTTGCTCTGGAAGTGTTTCCCAGGCTCAGCCGGACGTGGCTCCGTTGGGTGCCCTGCACCCCAGGAGTCTTCAAGGGACAGGGATGGGGTGGGGGTGGGGGGCGTGAGGCAGGGCTTGGGCAACTGTGCTGCTGTCCCCGAGTTGCTGTGACAACCTGCCACAAGCCCGATGGCTTAAGACAACACAGGCTTCTTGTCTCCCAGCTCGAGAGTCCAAAGTTCTAAATGAAGGGGTCAACAGGATCGCTTTGCTGTCCCCCTCCTTCAGGGGAGGGCCCTTAGCTTCTGGTGGCCCCAGTGTCCCACGGTGTGTGGCTGTCACTCAGCCTCTGCCTGTCGCTGTCTTCACGTGGCCTTCTTCCTTGTGCCTCCCAGGCCTCCCTCTCCTTTCCTTCATTAGGACACCAGTCGTTGGATTTTGGGCCCCCCCTAGATCCAGGATGGTCACCTCTTAAGATCTGCAACTTAATGACCTCTTCACATTCACGGGAATTGGGGGTTAGGACCTGGACATACCTTTTTTTTTTGGGGGGGGGACATGATTCAACCCAAATATGATGACCTGCAGGCTTGAACACACCCAGCAACAGCCTCCCTTATGCTCCAGCAGTGGAGAGCGGATGCTTCTTTTTCTTCTCTCCATTGCTTGCCAGTCGGGTTAGCGGCCAGAGCCCTTCTCCGACGGCGGCCAGCGGGCAGCGCTGAAGCTGCCTACTCCCTCTGGTGTGTGCCCTTCCCCTGCCTGGTTCTGGGATCCGCCTGTGCTCGGCCGAGGGCCGGGGCCAGGCAGGAGCAGCTCTGGCCCCCGAGACGAAGAGCGGGCCCCACCTCCACGCAGCTGGGGCCTCCAGAGCACAGCGTGCCTTCTCTGCAGCGGGGAGCCACGGCGGGGGCTGTCTCCCTGGAGAGAACGGGTCAGCTTCCTCCTGGTGCCTCCTGCCTGCTCTCTCCCCAGGGACACGGAGCACAGAACACCTGCTGTACCGCCCACAGGCCAACGCAGGAAGTGAGGCGGCATTTGCTCCAGGGCCCACAAGATGCTCCCTCTCACTGTGAGCTCTCCCCTGCCCAGTCCTTGCAGTCCCTGTCCATCTATTATTTATTCCATTCCCTTCCTCCTCGCACTTCTCACTCTCCAAGTATTCACCCTGCCCTGATTTGTGGTTGCCCAGGTGCGAGGTGCTGGGGCGCCATGACGAATATCGGGTACTTGCCTTCCAGAGGACTTTAACTACAGCATGACATGGATGTAGCCTCAGAAGTGCGTGCTTGGCACCGGATTATCTGCTCCTTATGACTCCCTCCCCAAGCAGTTTACTTTGCATGGGCTCCTTCCCCTGTGCCCTGACCTCAGCTAGTAAGGAATTGGCTAACGGTTACTGGAAAAGACCTGATAAACTCAGTTGCAAAACAAATACTAGTGTTTTAGCAAAAGAACTTAGAAACAGCTGATGACTCAGCCTGAGGGGACAATTGTTTATGCTACAACATTCAGGAGTTTCTGTAGCCAGGGTGGGAGCGGTGAGGCATACACTCCTGTCTTATGGGGTTAGTGTGTGTGTATGTGTGTGTGTGTGTGTGTGTGTGTGTGTGAGTGTGTGTGTGTGCACTCGCACTCAGGGATGATTTTATGTAGTGTTAGCTATGGGAACACAATGATATGAAGACAAACTGTTCTTTTGGGGGCCATAGTAGCTGGAATAAAATGAGACCTTCTTGCCCTGATCATGAAAAGAAAACTCAGAAGGTTACAGAAAATAATAAACAAAACAAGATACTTCCAGATGCAAAAGAGAGGAGTTGGACCCCTACCTCACACCATATACAAAAACGAACTCGAAGTGAATCAAAGTTAGAAATACAAGCTTGTATGTCTAAGAATGGAAAACTCTTAGAAAACAGTATGGCTGTAAATTATCAGGACCTTGTATGGGGCAGTAGTTTCCTAGAGGTGATACCAACCCCCAAGTAACATAAGGGAAAATGGATACATCGGAATACCGTCAAAATGTAAAATTCTGGGCTTCAAAGGACATGGCTGAGAAAGTGACAACGCAAAATGGGAGAAAATATTTGTAAATCAGAGATCTGATACGGAACTTATATCTAGAATATATAAAGAACTCTTGCCACTCAACAATTAAAAGAAAACCAAATTAGGGCACCTGGGTGGCTCAGTTGGTTGAGCATCTGACTTCGGCTCAGGTCATGATCTGGCGGTTTGTGAGTTCGAGCCCCGCGTTGGGCTCTGTGCCGTCAGCGCTGAGCCCACTTCAGATCCTCTGTCTCCCTCTCTCTCTGCCCCTCCCCCACTTGCTCTCTCTCTCAAAAATAAACAAACATTAAAAAAAAGAAAACCAAATTAAAATTGGCAAAAGGGGGTATATGGGGGGCTCAGTAGGCTAAGTGTCCAACTCTTGATTTCAGCTCGGGTCATGGTCCCAGGGTTGTGGGATCGAGCCCCGCTGAGCATGGAGCCTGCTTCAGATTCTCTCTCTCTCTCTCTCTCTCTCTCTCTCTCTGCCTCTGCCCCTCTCCCCCACTTGTTCTCTCTCTTGAAAATAAAAAAAAATAGGCAAATAAACATTTCTCAAAGAAGACTTACAAATGACCAATAAGTACATGAAAAGAGGCTCAGTATCATTGGCCCCCAAGAAATGCAAGTCCAAACGACAGTGAGATACAAGTTCACAGCCAGCAGGATGGCTGTCATCACAGTGACAAACGTTGGCAAGGATGTAGAGAGGCTGTCACTCCTGACACGTGGCTGGCAGGAGTGTAAAATGGTGCAGTCCCTTTGGAAATGAGTCTTGCACTTCCTCACACTATTAAACAGACAGCTACGGGTGACCCAGCATCCCACTTGGACGTGTACCCCCAAAGGAAATGAAAACATCGTAGATAAAGGTCCTTGGCAGCATTACTCAAAATAAAAAAAGAAAAGTGGAAACAAACCAAATGCCCATCAGGTGATGAATAAATGGACAGAACATGGTCTATCCACACGACAGAATAGTACTAGGCTCTAAGAAGGAACAAAGCAGTGGCTCATGTTATATAACAGATGAACCTCAGAAACATGGAGCTAAGTGGAAGGAGCCAGTCACAGACTACACACGACATGATTCCATTTATGGGAAATGTCCTGAACGGGCAAATCCAGAGCGATGGAAAACAGGTTAGAGGTTTCCAGGGGCTGAGGTTTGGGGGAAGGGGGTGCCTACTAACAGGTACAGGGTTCTCTTTTTGGGGCGATGAAAATGTTCTAAAAGGGATGGCAGTGGTGGTTACGCCAAAACCGGTGAACTGCGCGCTCGAGACGGGCAAATTGTATGCCACGTAGGTCAGAGCTCAGTGGTTATAAGCGCACACATGCACACACACTAGAAGCCTTTCCCTTCTCTGCTCAGACCCTGGGAAGTCCTGGAGCTCCAGACAGGTGACCTTCAGAGCCAGTCTCACTATTCTGGGCTCGGCTTAGGATGGGGTCAGGGTCCAGGTTCATGAGGGGGGATGGGACGGTGAGGGTCCAGGTTCATGAGGGGGGATGGGACGGTGAGGGTCCAGGTTCATGAGGGGGGATGGGACGGTGAGGGTCCAGGTTCATGAGAGGGATGGGACGGTGAGGGTCCAGGTTCAGGAGGGGGATGGGATGGTCAGGGTTGTAGTTCTCTCAGGAGAACTTAACTTACTCAACAAGAACTTTGGAACCGACTGTTGGATGAGATCACTCGAACACAGGAGGCTGACTCAGAGGCCAAGGGAAGCATTCCACAAGCAACAGCTAATTGAGGACCATGCCTTGCTCTCTGATGTCCCCCTGCAGCTGGAGCGGGGCGTGGAGAGGCGCAGTGGCCTCAGATGCCCTCCATCAGCTGGCCTTGCTAGCGGGCTCCTAGGGCAGAACGGAGCGGAGCCCCTTGCTCTTGTGCAGATGGTCAGGCAAGGACAAGAAAGTTCCACTTTAGAGATTTCCACAAATAAGAGTCGAAGTTCATATACTCTAGATAGATAACTTGGACACCTCCGTGCCTAAAGGTAAGAAAAAGTGGCAGCCCTTCAATGGAGATAGTCATCAGGTGAGCTGCCCATTCAGTATGAGATGCTCCCTAATATATGCAGCAGGTGAGTATAGCATGCTTTCTGCATGGGGGGGGAAACCACAGTGGCGTTATCACAATCGGAGATGAAAACACTGTTCTCACCGCATTGGAGGAGATACAGACAGAGTTGTGGTGGAGAACTTGAAACGCGTGATAACACACGAATCAGAAGGAAACTCCAGAGGTGGGCAAGAAGCAGGTGGAATGAAGAACCCCGTGGCCGAGGGCACCAGCCTGTTGTACGCCAATGAGAAAAATCAGTGACTTAGAAGATAAATCAGAGGAAGATATTCAGAAAGAAGCATGGAGAGGTGGAGGCAGGGGAAAAGGTCTGTACCGGGGGGGTGGGGGCAGGGAGAAAGCCCAACGTATGTGCAGCTGGGGCCCCAGAAGGAGAGTCGAAAGAACACAGGAGAAACAATGTTTGAGAAGGAAACGGCTGAGCCTGTCACCTGACCGATGAAAGTCACTAAGGCACAGATTCCAGAAACTCCGTGAATCTGCCGCAAGAGGAATGAACACAAGGGCGCACCAGCACGGACGTGGTGGAGGAGACCAGTGGAAGCCAAAAGCAAAGAGGAAACCTTAACAACAGGAAGGGGGATACGTTTTCCTTCCAAGGAGCAGTAAGAAACCTGACAATTGACCTCTCAACAGAAGGAGTGGGAGCCCCGTGAGAATGGAGCGGTACATCTAAAGGCTGAAAAATGATAGCTTTTCGATCTGAAGCTCTACCCCCAAGG